AAAAAAATCAGGAGATATCCATTACCATTTACCACCAAATGAAAGCCCAATTTGTCTTGAAAAAAAAAACAAGGTATAATTCACCTGGATGTACAAAGTAGCTGTGATGATATGTGCAGTTTTACCAACACATGTCAACGTTGCAAAAATTGTGCTTAGGCATTTAGATTTGTTTTTACCCTTAGGCGTGAAGGGGTTAAGAAAACTGTATACAGCGAGGCACAATGCCAAACCTATCTAAAATATATAGATCTTGAGATTATCTACATTAAAAGTGTCCAAGAGTGCTATTTGACTCTCAGATGGTACCGGTAACAGTAGAAATATCACTGACTTAGGAAGATTTGCTATACAGCTGAATATACAGTAATAACCTTCTTTTATCTTTACAGATCTGGAAGTATGCAGCAATTGTTGACAGTTTTATGACCCATAGTCAGAAAGAACTTTTTAGCTTTGGATCATCAATGGTGAATACTGTGTACCCTTTAACGCTGCTGGAAACCTATGTCAATAAACTGTTGATCAGAAAGCTTACTGTCCAGGTTGTGTTAAGGTGGTACATCAAAGTCATATAAAAAAATATGTCTGTTGAGTACACAATCTTCAGAGTTAGGGCAACTTTTCCAAAAAGATTGGACAAACATTGCAAAAACCAGATGTTCAAAGCTGGTAGAGACATACTGTATCCCAAAAGACCTGCGACTGTAGCTGCAGCCAAAGGTGATTCTATCACGTTTTTTTGTAATATTATTGAGTAAATCCTTTTTTTTTGAAATGTTATAAAACACTACCTAAAGAACATCTGAAATCCCCATTCATTTTATAAATATCCTAAGATCCTGTTTGTGAAGGGTGAAGTATTAAAATATTCTCAGCTGGAGGAAGTAGTTTGTATTTGTTATTAAATAAAGAGCGTTATATTTATAGTCAATGTTGAGATGCATTTCCTGCCCTCCCCCATGAATCACCTGAATTGTGGATTGTGAATGCAGTTACATTATGGGGATATTATGGTTTCTGGTTTTATGACCATATAAGGATACAAGGATGTAGCTCAATATGTCTACTGTAGAGGACACGGAAGTCTTTTTTCAAATATTTATTAAAAAGAGTGCAAACAGGGGCATAACTAGATTTTATTAACATACATTCACATCAGTCCCTGCTCTCTAGAAGCTTACAATCTAATATGTCCATCTCACAAGCATACATACACACGCCTGGCCAATTTTCAGTAGCCAATTACCTACCAGGACGTCTTCGAAGTGCGGGAGGAAACCAGAGTACCTGGAAAGAAACCCATGAAAGCACAGGTAGAACATGCAAACTACATGCAGATAGTGTCTTCGCTTGGATTTGAACTGAGGATCCCAGTTTTCTGTTTTAGCTGTTAAGACACTACCAGCCCCAAGGCCGCATAGCAACATCTTGATGGCACCCCTCCACCTTCCTCAGTATCCCTTAGCCAGGGGTGGACTGACAACTCATGGGGCCCCCAGGCAATAGGGGATCATGGAGCCCCTGTGTCCATGCCCAAACTCAGAAAAGCCTATGAAAACGGTACCAGGGGCATCTCATGGGGCCCCCTACTGATCCCGGGCCCTCAGGCACTGTCCAAGTCTTCAAATGGTCAGTCCGCCCCTGCCCCTAGCTGCATGTGTGCTTACTAAGGATTAGCTTGACAGCTCTTGAACTTGCACCCCTAAACACATGGTAGTAATCATAGTTATCTTATTTCTTTCCTCACAGGTTCACTTGAATTACTAATAGTGAATGCAGAGGCATCTCTAGGGTTGGTGTCACCCGGTACGGTAACACATGGTGTCACCCCTCCTGAGAGGAAGGAGCGGGCAGGTGTAGCGGTAAAATGAGTATCCCATGAAGATATGTATCACCTGAAGCAACTGCGCATGTGCTGGTTTCAGGCCAAAGACGCCGATCTCCGACTTTAACACAGAGCTGCCACAGTTAACCCCTTATAGGCTGCAAACTGCTGAAGCTGATCCCATGGATCCCTATAGGGTTCATAATACAAAACACAATACATAGTTTTCCACTTGAATTACTAAAAGTGAACGTATTTGACAAGCATATGAGCAGATCAGGAGTTGTCAGCATCTGACACTCCTGGAAGTGTGAAATTCAGAAGATCTTTGAACAAGCAAAACTTCTCAGTGCAGTAGAGGTTTGGTGACATGGGCTGTGGAACAGGTATAATTTTTTTGCCTTGCAAAAAACTCTTTGTAATCATAGCTTTCTTATTTCTTTCTGTCAAGGTCCTACCTTTTCCCAGAGGTTATGTTACTCCATGTGCTGGCATCCATCTTGGATTTCTGCTGAGCATGGTGGGAATCCTTTATACCTTCAGGTCTCTGAGGTCCATCCCCCAGAGGGGTGTGGCTGATGACATATAAGCCTGTGGTCCGCACATGCTCTTTGCACTTGTGTCTTGTGTCTTTGTGTTGCTATAACTCTGTTCTGACTCTCGTGACTCTTCTGATCTGACTCGGCTTGTGACTCGACTATTCTTTGTGTTCTCCTTTGATCTGACCCTCTGTTGCTGAACCCGGCTCGTGACCTGTGATTCTCGTCTGCTGTCCTGTACAGTTTTGTCCCGTTGTTGTCGACCCGGCCTGCCTGACTACTCTATTGTCTTTTCCACCAGCTATACGCCATTGGCGGTGGCCATTACCGCAACTGAGGTGTCAAGTCCATCCCCACCATCAGGGGCCCTGGTGAAGGGCAGCCTGGGACTTAGACTCCGCGTGCCCTGAGGGACTTCGGTCTGTGGGTGGTGGTTGTCGTCAGCCAGTGCGTTACATTGTTATTAGGCCTGCCTGTCCGTTCCTCAGCTCCTGCCCTGACACTTTCCTCACAGGTCCACTTAAATTACTAAAAGTGAATGTATTTGACAAGCAAATGAGCAGATCAGGAGTCGCCAGCATCTGACACTCCTGGAAGTGTCAAATTCAGAAGATCTTTGAGCAAGCAAAACTCCTCAATGCAGTAGAGGTTTGCTGACATGGACTGTGGATAATGTATAATTTGTTTGCTTTGCAAAAAGCTCTTTATATTATCTTTTGAAAAAAGTGACGGATTTGCTTTAAAGCAAATCCGCAAAGTTTCTTTTTCAAAGTTATTAATGTTTAAATAAACATAATACATAGTCTTGCACATTTAATAAATTATATGTATGGACGACAGAGCCAGATGCTATGCATCATACTTAAATAAGAACCCTTCAGAATGTCCAGGTCAACTGCAGGGAGCATATGTGGGCATTGTGGGAAACATCTTATAGAAATCTGAGGCCATATCAGGTTCATCCTAGTTACTTGTAAATGTCTAGGAAAACTGTTGTATATCAAGTGTTATAGTTTTACTGTCATATCATTTACTTTAAGAGGACAGTGAAATACAACTTCCACACACCACTCTCACTCCATTTTCTACTTTTAAAAAATATTATATTAAAGGACACCTATATATTCATTGATCTTAGATGGGACTCCTCCACCTTATCTTATTTCTTTCCTCACAGGTTCACTTGAATTACTTATAGTGAATGTATTTGACAAGCATATGAGTAGATCAGGAGTCGCCAGCATCTGACACTCCTGGAAGTGTCAAATTTAGAAAATCTTTGAACAAGCATAATTCCTCGGTGCAGTAGAGGATTGCTGACATTGACTGTGGAACAGGTATAATTTGTTTGCCTTGCAAAAAGCTCTTTGTAATCATAGCTCTCTTATTTCTTTCCTCACAGATCCACTTGAATTACTAAAAGTGAATGTGTTTGACAAGCATATGAGCAGATCAGGAGTTGCCAGCATCTGACACTCCTGGAAGTGTCAAATTCAGAAGATCTTTGAGCAAGCAAAACTCCTCAGTGCAGTAGAGGTTTGCTGGTATGGGCTGTGGAGCATGTATAATTTGTTTGCTTTGCAAAAAGCTCTTTATGTTATCTTTAAAGCAAAACCGCAAAGTTTCTTTTTCAAAGTTATTAATTTTTAAATAAACATAATACATAGTCTTGCACATTTTATAATTTATATATATGGACAACAGAGCCAGATGCTATGCATCATACTTAAATAGAGAACCCTTCAGAATGTCCAGGTCAACTTCGGGGAGCATATGTGGGCATTGTGGGAAACTTCTTACAGAAATTTGAGGCCATATCAGGGTCATCCTAGTTACTTATAAATGTCTAGGAAAAATGTTGTACATCAAGTGTTATAGTTTTACTGTCATATTTACTTTAGGAGGACAGTGAAATACAACTTCCACACACCACTCTCACTCCATTTTTTACTTTTTAAAAATATTATATTAAAGGACACCTATATAGTCATTGATCTTTGATGGGACTCCTCCACCTTCTTGGTGGAAATTTGGTCACCTCTTCAATGATAGAACTTTGAGGGTAACAGTGTATGATAGTTCCAAGGGTATCCAGCACACTCTATGTTTGAAGTAAATGCCTAGGTGCTCACCACACAAAGAAATCCATATAAATCCAAAACTTTTGTAGAGGCACTTATGGGTCTTGCAGAGGAGGTGTATCGAAAACAGAAGTGTTTTTATTGACAACATTGATGAAGCTCAGTCCATCTTTCTCAAGACAATACAACATGGAAGTGAGCAGACTAATAAACCCAAGGTCCCAACCACCACCAACACCCCATAGTGACAACATCATAAAGTGCAAGGGTTAAAGGACACATACAGGGTAGATGTCAAAGAAAGATCACAAAAGAAGCAAATCACAATAGTCCATCAAAAAAGAAAATTATACAAAATCCTTGCTTAACTACTTGCCAACCGCAGATAGCCAAATGATGGCTACACTGCGGCCGGCCAGTTCCGGGAGGGCGTCATAGAATGTCCTCCCAGAACGCGCTCTCCTGCGTGTCCCTGGCGATCTCTGTGATGTGGTAAAAGGCCAATCACAGCGCCCTTTTATCACGTGATCAGCCGTGTCCAATGACACTCTGATCACCGGTTCTCGGCTACACTTTTCTCACGCTGTCAGAGAGTCAGGAAAGTACTGCTGAGAACTGGCAGTTGTCAGAGCAGGGATCAGCACCGATGATGAGGGCACTGATGATCAGTGCCCTGATGATCGGTGCCCAGCAGTGCCACCCACCAGTTCCGCCCACCTGTGCCCAGCAGTGCACCCACCTGTGCCCAGCAGTGCCACCCAGCAGTGCCACCTACCTGTGCCCAGAAGTGCCACCCACCTGTGCCTAGCAGTGCCACCCACCAGTTCTACCCACCTGTGCCCACCAGTGCCACCCACCTGTGCCCATCAATGCAGTGCTGCCAGTCAGTGCCACCAGTCAGTGCCCAGCAGTGTGCCAGTCAGTGCCCAGCAGTTGAGCCAGTCAATGCCTAGCAGTGCCGCCAGTCAGTGCCCAGCAGTGATGCCAGTCAGTGCCATCTATCAGTGCTCTCTATCAGTACCCATCATCAGTGCCGCCTATCAGTGCCACCTATCAGTGCCGCCTATCCGTGACACCTCATTGGTGCTGCCTATCAGTGCCACCTATCAGTGCCCTTCAGTGCTGCCTATCAGTGCCCATCAGTGCCGCCTATCAGTGCCCATCAGTGCTGCCTCATCAACGCACATCAGTGAAGGAGAAAAATTACCTGTTTGAAAAATTTTTATAATAGAAACAAAGAAAAACATTTTTTTTTTTCATTTTTTGCTCTTTTTTTGTTTCTAGCGCAAAAAGTAAAGTGCCCCAGCGGTGATTACATACCACCAAAAGAAAGCTCTATTTGTGAGAAAAAAAATGATAAAAATTTCATATGGATACAATCTTGCATGATCGCACAATTGTCAATCAAATTGCGACATCGCTGAAAGCTGAAAATTGGCCTGGTAAAGAAGGGGGTATAAGTGCCCTGTAGGCAAGTGGTTAAATAAAGCTATCCAAAAAAAGCTACTACATAAAAATGGCAAAATGCAGAAAAAGTGGAAAAACAAAGCATGTAAACAACACTCACACGATGGCCGCCATTGCACATGGCAAACACCAGGCAGGCATTGACCACCTGTAATTAGTAAAAGGAAAAAATAATAAACAACAAATGATGTGCTAGGACAACATAGCAACAAATAAAAAATTACCAAATAGCCGTAAAAAATACTATCCAAGACCAAACACCCCACAAGTAAACCTGACCACTGAGTGCCTCTATATATATACAGTATACACAACATTAGGAAAGAGCTAATCGCAATATTATAATCCATTTACATCCGTCAACATGCTTCTCATTCTACTTTCTTTTTAGTGCCAAAATGATTGCATTAACATACAGGAGATACATTTTTGCAGTGATGGAGGAAAGTAGATTTTGGATATTTAAATACAAAGTAAGAAAATATTTGGTCTTAAAGCAAATCTAAAAGTTCACAAGATTTCTGGAAGAATTAACTTTTTAAAATACTTTTCCCATTTCCTATGAAATGTATCCACACAAATATAGTTGTTTAGCTATATAACAGCAAATTTGTTTATATACTGTAAATGTATTTTCTTGGCTGCATACATATTAATTTATGGTGTGTTTCCATGCTACAATAAGGTATCTAATTTGGATTTATTATATGCATTTATTTTGAACCTTTTTAACAAGTTGCCCTCTGCCCTATAGCAGAAGTACTGCTACAGGGCGGCAGGGCTGTGCAAAATCAGGTATATATACAGTATGTGATTTGCATTTCCAGGTATGAATGCTACCCGTGCCACTATTGCCTGCTGGGGATGTCAATCACCGGGCTACGGCCGGCGATTCCCAGCCAGGACTCGGTGATCATCGGTAGTGCTGAGAGGGGAGAGATCTGTATGTAAACAACACAGATCTCTCTCCTGTCAGCATGGTCATGCTGCTTTGTATCTCTCTGCACAGCAGAGAGATACAAAGCAGCATGTCTCCCTAGTAAAACACAACACAACCCACAATGTGAAACACACACAGCACACAGTTAACCCTTTGATCGTCCCAGATGTTAACCCCTTCCTGTCCAGTGTCATTAGTACAGTATCAGCGCTTTTTATTATCACTGATCACTGTATTAGTGTCACTGGGGATGTCAGTGGCCGTTAGTCAGTTCCCACCCAGTGTCAGAATGCCCTCCGCAGTCCCCCATGATTGCCGCTATTACTAGTATTTAAAAAAAAAAAATTCCAGTATATATACCGCCATTTGTAGACGCCATAACTTTCACATAAACCAATTCACATACACTTATTGGGTTTTTTTCTTTTAGCAAAGACGTAGCAGAATACATTTTGGCCTAAATTTATGAAGAAATTAGATTTTTAAAATGTCTTTATTGGATATGTTTTATAGCAAAAAGTCAAAAATATTGTTTTTCTTTCAAAATTGTCGGTCATTTCTTCTCGTTTATCCAAAAAGAACAAACAGAGGGTGCACCGGCCTAGTGCATTACCTTAAAACACATTTTTATTGATATACTGTAAAGATGATAAGTAATATACTCACAAAGGATGAGTAAGTCAATAGCTCATCATGAAAAGAAAGATCAGCACTGTCCAGTACACATTGCATTTCACAATAGAAAGCCTAGACCTCCAACAGGCATTTATGTTTATAGCACAAAAAAATAAAAAACACAGAGAGATCAAATACCACAGAAAGAAAGCTCTATTTGTGGGAAAAAAAGGACATACATTTAATTTATGTACAGCATTGCATGACCGCGCAATTGTCAGTAAAAATAACAGCACCGTATCACAAAAGATGGCCTGGTCAGGGAGGAGGGGGGGGGGGGGCGATAAATCTTCTGGAGGGCAAGTGGTTAAATCACTTTAACTGGCATATGCAGATATTTAGTGGAAATAGTAACAAGATTATTTTTACTAATTTACTGTGTAAAATCATTTTTCATATCACTAAACAGAGGTATAGAGAACCTTGCATTGTCATCACACTTTTAAAAAATTCTGCAATTTTTATCCAGTTTCAGTATAGTTGCTAGTGCCACCAACTCATTTGATCTTCACCTCTTTTCCCTGTAAATTTTATTTTGCAGCTGTCATATCTAAATATTTAAAAAATATTTAGAAAAACATGAAGACTTGTGCCCTTCCTACCCATGAATTCTTGCAAGACTAAAAATACATGTGCTGCTGCTTTGATTCTGCCAGTATTCCAACTGATTGCTGACATCGTACATCCCATGAACAACAGGTCACATCCTTTCTGAGAGTGGGCGGTCTTAACTGCTCGGCATTTTCTATATGCCAAACTGAAACAATCTCATTGAACTGGGGTAGGCAAGCTCTTTAAAACTAAAAGGTATTTTTCACACAAAGTGTGCCTTTAAAGTAGGACAGAATTCTGATTTGGTTCTTGTTTCCTGTAAAACAAAAAGCAGTTTAGCCTATACTTGAACATCTGTCTTAACCTATTTGTTGGTAATTTTTAGTTTTTCTTGCTGTCAATACTAGACCAAGCTTTGTGGTAAGTTTCTTCAATACACTGCTCAAAGAAATTAAAGGAACACTTTTTAATCAGAGTATAGCATCACATCAGTTAAACTCCTGGGATATTGATCTGGTCAGTTAAGTAGCAGAGGGGGTTGTTAATCAGTTTCAACTGCTTTAATGTTAATGAAATTAACAACAAGTCCACTAGATGGGCAACAATGAGATGACCCCCAAAACAGGAAGAGTTTTACAGGTCATGGCCACTGACATTTTTTTCCCTACTCACCTTTTCTGACTGTTTTTCACTAGTTTTGCATTCAGGGGATACCTGGACCCTACAGAAGTTGCAGAGGCTGTCAAACTCCTCCAGGTTGGCACATCAATACATGCCATTGCCAGAAGGTTTGCTTTGTCTCCCAGCACAGTCTCAAGAACATGGAGGAGATTACAGGAGACAGGCAGTTACTCTAGGAGAGCTGAACAGGGCAGCAAGGAGGAACAGGATGAGCACTGGCAGAGCCCTACAAAATGACCTCCTGCAAGCCACTGGTGTGAATGTCTCTGACCAAAAACAATCAGAAAGAGACTTCATGAGGGTGGCCTGAGGGCCCGACATCCTATAGTGGACCATGTGCTCACTGCCTGGTACCGTAGAGCTTGATTGGCATTTGCCATTGAACACCAGAATTGGCGGATCTGCCACTGGCGGACTGTGCTTTTCACAGATGAAAACAGCTTCACTCTGAGCACATGTGACAGACGTGAAAGGGTCTGGAGAAGCCATGGAGAATGTTATGTTACCTGTAACATCATTCAGCATGACCGTTTTGGTGGTGGATTAGTGATGGTCTGGGGAGAAATATCCATGGAGGGACACACAGGCCTCTACAGGCTAGACAATGGCACACTGACTGCCATTAGGTATCGGGATGAAATCCTTGGACCCATTGTCAGATCCTATGCTGGTGCAATGGGTCCTGGGTTCCTCCTGGTGCACAACAATGCCCGGCCTCATGTGGTGAGAGTGCACAGGCAGTTCTGGAGGATGAAGGAATTGATACCATTGAATGGCCCCCACGCTTGCCTGACCTAAATCCAATAGAATTCCTCTGGGATATCATGTTTTGGTCCATCCAACACCACCAGGTTGCACCTCAGACTGCGCAGGAGCTCAGTGATGCCCTGGTCTAGATCTGGGAGGAAATACCCCAGGACACCATGGGGGCCATACAAACTACTGAGTACCATTTTGAGTTGCTGCAATGAAATTTCAGCAAAATGGACTAGCCTGCTGCATCATTTTTTCACTTTGATTTTTGGGGTGTCTTTGAATTCAGTACTCTGTAGGTTGATCATTTTAATTTCCATCAAATGATGGGGCATCCTTACGTTCCTAACACATTACCCAGTCCATATCAGTATAGATATCCAGCATGATATTTTTCCCCATCGATCTCTGATGTGTTTTCAAAGTGTTCCTTACATTTTTTTGAGCAGTGAATTTAAATAGTGGATTTTTTCAAACGTCTGTATTTGTTGGGGTTCGACATCATTCTCTAAAAAAAATCAAAAAATCCATGACAGTAATATTTTATTGGTTTGTGATTACTCTTGAAATGGATGTTTAAAGATTCCTGGCTAGAGGCTGAAGCATGTTTACTGAGCACAAGATAGGATCATTTCTTTAATAGCAAAAACTCTGCATATTTTGCCGCTTAACAGTTAAATCTTAACTGGCGGAATATTTTACAGAGACGGCGTAATTAAGTCTAAATGAATGTCACTTCCTGTTTTGAAGGATGCAGCAGTTGGTTACGAATGACTCTGAAAGCAGGAGGTGAGTTGAGATCAGAATTCCCTCAAGAAGCAGACTTTGGTCAGGAAGTAGAGTTTTTAAGAAAAGTTCTTGG